GCTCTCATGCTGTTCCGTATGACAACCCGCGGAACTGTGCCATTCCTCGACGTGAACCCGGACACGGGGCTCATGAGTACAGCCGGAGTGACGTTGGTCAAGTCGGCTTTCAAGACTCTCGAGGATTCTTTGGGCTCATCATCTGTGGACGCACTGGAAGCAGCTGTGGCCGAGGTCGGCCGCAACGCGTTCTCGCGACGAGACCCATTCTCCTATGACGACATCCTGGCTATGGCTGTGGCAGCGCAGAAGGCGAATGACCCGAATACAGCTGCTGCCACTGGACACGAGATACCTGTCTGGGCCCGCAGCAGCCTGTTCTTTCAGTGACCGTGCTAACCGCGAGAGTAACCCCGTCCTCCATGACAAAAATACTGCAGTCGTATACCAAAAACTTAGCCGAAAACTGGTCTTCAAAAAATAAATACTCGTGATTTTGCTTGAGTATTGCTGTAGGCAGAAAATTTAATCCAAGTACGAAATTTTCAGTGGTAAAAACTTGAATTTCACCTTACGGAAGGGCTAACCTCGCGGGATTTTTATTGATGCGTTACAATTTGTTACATAATAGGCCATTAAATTACGTAATGGAAAATTTGTGTCTTATTTCCGATAAATTCAAATCCCGAAAAATTAGGTTGAAAAAATGAGCCGAAAAACGATAAGTTTCTTGGACGGAACTGCGGTAAATCAAATGATCGAAAAAAATTTTGCGTTTTCAATGTGGACGATGTACTGTAGTTTCCTCGTCGTGTATGAATATTGTACATCAAAGATTTATGCACTAAAATTGACGTATTGAGAAACTCGTTATTATGGTCTAGCTTATTTTCTATGCCGTTTGTGCCCTTCTTCCGACTGATTCTCACTCATATTTTCCTTATTTCTTTCCTGCAGTTTTCATCGCCATATTTATGATGTGCACCATTATGTCCAGAATGAGGGGCGGCTGAAATCATCCCGTCGGCCATCTTGACGATTACTTGTACAGTATGTGCATACCGTATATGCAGTACAGTACGTGCTCTTCGGACGACTGCAACTTTCCCGTTTTCAATTCAATTTCCGATTCTTTCAACTGTATTGAAACATTTATTTCCCCTCTATTCGCGCTTGGTGTGATGCGTACGTGTTTGCGTGTGAATGCTGCTGCGTCTTGCCAAAATGAATGTGCATGAGTGAGATGAACGGAATACATGCTTGACACGAGAAATCATGCTGTCTGTCAACATTCTCGCGGGTTTCAATTTTATTATTATGCCGATTCGATTTCTTTATCGTGTGGTCTGCTAATTTGATTGACGGACTGGCTGCTGCAGATCTTGCCGAACAACTTAATCTCCTAATTTTTTTGCATGACTCATCAGAAGATAATCGCATCGCGATGATTTTCAGAGGAGATTTTTATTTAAGCACTACGTCTTCTTTGACCGAATACATAGCACTCAACTAGTGGAACTTGGTCTTTTCTTCTACAAAAACACTCGTGTTAAAAACTTCTAGCAAGGAAAACACGCATTGTAAAGAGCGATAAATAAAATAAGGCCATATTTGTTGTCCAAATTAAATAAAACGTTTTATTTCAAATTCTCGAAGGTTTCTTCAAAAATATGCCGTCTTCCGATTTTCCAGTTGCGAAGGGATTGAGTGAAACGAACCGAGGAAGAAATGAATGAGATGAAATTAGAGTGATATCAAAAAGTGAATTCAAGCACGAGAGAACGGGACTGGTGAGCGCAATTGTCTTGTATGAGGATCCGACACAGAGTGGCTAGTCTCAACGCGAACTTCCTGTTTCAATTCCGGAACTTGCTGAACCTCTGGCTCGGTCACATCCGGGGTCTCCGTGGTCGTCGCTTTCCTGCCGGATTTGTCCTTCTTATTCCTGCCACCGAACAACGAAGCCCTAGCGACAACGACAAGTACGCACCACGACGACCTCACCGGGGACAACGCTAAGAAGGCAGCCGGAAACCTCGGCAACCGACGACCTCAAAGGTGCCCTCTCCGCTGTAGACACGCTGAGGGTTCTTGTTGAGCTGACGCGTGAGTCGCAATGAACGCTATCAGACAGATTCCGAGGAAAGCCCACGTTGCTTTCATTTTTCTCTCCGAATGCCGTGCCTTTGTTTTTAAATAACCCTCTTCTTTTTCCCCACAATCTGTAAAAAAAAGGACACGTTTTCAAACCATATAATCATTCGCATAATATTTATTTCCGAAGAGTATATTTCTTGAAGAAAACTTGGCACGAGCTATTCATAAAGTTATTTCACGGTTTTTCGGTTTACGAGTTGCTTGAATAACCTTTCCCGAAGTAAGACGTGTACATGTACAGTATAACCAAGAAAAATTTCTGTATAAAACCCGGGTTCGAGATGCAAGCCTTGTTTCGAGAAAAAATCAACTGTTTCCCTGAATTCAAGATTATTGATTAATTCGTATTTATATTTTATTCAGTGATGATTGAAAAAGCTGATTCTGAACGAACGAAAGCAAGATACGTCAACCGTGATTCTGATAAATAATTGTTCATGTTGTTTTGGTGTAGATTATTTTTTTCAATGGGACTGGTTACAAATACGAACAGGGTAGTATATGTATAACGATAAATATTGCCATCGGAGCAATTTTTCACCTTTAAAGACTTCTTACGAGTCCGAGCATGAATTTTGAATGGAAGTCTGAGAAGGGCCTTTCTACATGAAATACTCAACAAATATTGAAAGTGATTTGACACGGGAATTGGGGATGATTTTGATTTATTAAATATTGCTGCTTTTAAAAAGGCCTAACATTTCGTCAGGTGAATAAACTTCTGAGAATTTCCGAGAGATGCGAAGTCAACCCGCGTTTTATATACCACTGGAGAAATGATAGTATTACACGGTGTTTCTAATTGATTGATGATCAATCACGCATGATCAACAGAGGAATAAATGCTACACTAGGATCAAATTATTAGTTCGATGAGTAAATCGCCTAAGGGCTCTCTTTTTTTAGTGACCTGACTTCAAGATACCCAGTCTAAACAAGCCTTCGGACAAAAACTTACTTGAACAGCCGAAGGTTTACCGCTCTCTTCTCCTTTTTCCAGGCCACCCTTTAACCTTGAGATCATTGATGAGAAACCGGTATTGACGATGACGATCTTCTGTCGTCGTGATTTATGGATGGCTCTAATGAGGAAAAAATCCAGTATGACGGAGAAGCCATGATTAGGATGAGAAGCTTCCGAAGCCTGATGGTATCTGGACTGAATATGAAAATGATCCTGTCATCCGTGAGTCCGGTTTCCTTTTTCGAGGATCTTCTTGATGATGCGCAGTTTCATGCCCAAGGTTTTTTCCGGGAGTCATTCCGTCCGTTCGAACTTCTCCCTTTGTTTTTTTGTTTGTTTTGTTTCTCATTATTCATCTCGAAAGATGTTATCGGATTATATTCAAATCAGTCTATAGCAGATAACGAGGGCTATTATTTCCGAAGAGATACACTGTATGTTTATGAAGTTGAACCTCTTCCAGTCGGAACTTCAATAAAGGACCATCAGCAAAAAAAGTTCGAGGGAAAACGAGCATTTCTGTTGGCGGAAATAAATAATTACCGGAAATTGTCATTAATGTATTTAAGGCCGTTAATTGCTTCCTGATGGATTCAGTTGAAGGCAAGGGTTAATTTTTTGAATTAATCTTTCGCATGGTTTTAAATGGCTCGGTGTTTCTCCGAGGACAAAAAAATGGGGATTCTCGTTAATTTTTTGGATGATCTGCAAGAGAATACGTCGTATAGAAGCAAGTAAGCTGTTCACATGTCTAAGGAGAATAAGTTGTCAGAAGTGTTCGATGATGTGTGATTATTCATCTCGTAAGAGAATCTCCTGTAAATTAAAATATCAGGTTCTTCACCTTCGAGGATACATTAGGGGGGAATAATCTGTGATCGTTTATTTCTGAAGATTGGATCACATATAAACTGATATCAGGGTTTTAAATGTTTTTCAGATATGTAGAGAATCTATGTAAAAATATGTGTGTCTTGGAAGATGAGCATGGATATTTTGAAAATATTAGTTTATTTCTGAAGATTGGATCACATATAAACTGATATCAGGGTTTTAAATGTTTTTCAGATATGTAGAGAATCTATGTAAAAATATGTGTGTCTTGGAAGATGAGCATGGATATTTTGAAAATATTTTAGGTGCCCGATACTTCGCCGTTAATGAGAAAATACGATTATTTCGCTTATTCAATTTATTTCGTCTGCATTCGATCGTCTGGTTATTCATTTGTAAACTTTCCAAATTTAGCTCAAAATTGCTGGTCTTCCTGATTCTCAAATTATGTATTCTCTCAGATCTTCTGTTATATTGTGACAGTAAAATTACACTAAAATAATTCTGAGGCACATTTTCGGTCTTTTTTCTGAAGCACCTATTGCAGATTTTTTTTCTTACACATTATTGGTCATTTAGCCCATTTTTCAGCGGTGAAAAATGACCATGCAAAATTACAATGCTTCTCAAAAGTTGAGTGCGGATAATAAATTTCTGTGCACGTGTAAAGTGTATAGAAATTGGAAGGAAAATTATGCAGTGATTTGAGGCTGGCTTTTTTCTCCGCTTTGAGACGTCGAATTTTTTTTTTTACATAGCAAACACTTATTTGTAAATTATGAAGTGTGTCATGAAGCTTAAAGTTGAGCTTTGAATGCTGAAAAATGCGGGCACAATCATGAAATCGAGAGGTTTTGTAATCAAATAAATTAGCGGCTTCAATTTCTGAACAATACTTTTGAAAATGCTTCAAAATTAGCACCTTCGCTGGAATACTTCAGCATTTCAGTTTTCTTCATAATACAGTATTCGACAGTTTATACCTAATTACGTAGACGTGGTTTTATTCGAAATCTGTTGCGTTTATGTGTCCATAAAAATTGTTGATTGTGACCCACTTGAAGTAGAGGGAGAAATATGATTTTTTCAGATTATTTTCTCTTAGACTTTCAGAGAGTGTTTTGAAATTAAACACTGCTTTATTTTGTTTTTTTCGACTGAAAGGGATTGGATGAGAGACAGAAAAACCAATTCTTGGCAAAATCATTCAAAAATTTATTCATCAATAATCGTCTCCTTTCTTTTCTTCCGTTCGGCAGGAGAAAATTTATCAAACGAAAGCGACGCGAGAAAAAAAAAATCACGGCTTGACGCTGAGAATTTCCGGCAGCACAATTTCCGATATGTGACAAACAGAAGCCCTTTGAAATCCCTCAACTTTTCCCCCCGATAAAAGAAATTTTTTTTACAAAAGTGTCCGTCACAGCCTTCTTCTTGGACAGCTCGACCTTCTTCGACCTACAGTGCTTCCACAGCTATGTGCAGTCCGGACAGTGGTCCCTGAGCTTAGAGGCAAAGGACTGCCACATCCAAAAGTTCTCGCATTTTTCGCACTGGATTGGGTTTCCTGAAATTTGATGTAAGGTATTCGCGCGAAGATTCTGTTAATATCGGCAATATCCTCGAAACAACGGATTCTTTTAAAATTCAAAGTTTTTCGTGGAAGAACGACAAGTAAAGTTCATTCTATTATTTGTTTCGACAACTTGTATGGTCCCACCAAAAATTCCATCCACAGTTAGAAATATGGAGAAAATTCAACAATTCCAAGAGTTCACTCGATTCAAGTCAAGATATTTTTTCACAAACAAAAAATAATAATTTTTCAAGCGGGAAATAAAAGGAAGGAAAATAATGCAAAATAAAAAGCACTCTGGTTTAAAAATGTAAATAGCCCTTATGCAGTCTCCAATTCAAATTTGAAGAGACTCTTAAAATTTAGTTCTTAAGTTATGGAATTTGTCATTATTTTCAGGACAAATCAATGAACGTACGAAAAATATTCATGATTCATAAATATGTCGTACCTGTAATAAATGAATATGCCTATTGATCACTTGTGGGGAGCGTAAAGAAATAAATTATTTTGCGTATGTTTTTTGTTTTGTTTTCTGAAACAGGCGTTCTAAAATTTGGCCCACAAATGAAAAACAAAAAAGTTCATTTATTGTCCAATTTGCTGAAGTCCATTGAATGAATATTTTAATCTTCTTCGAAAAAATCTTGATGAAGCCTAAAGTTTTCTCATTAATTATCTTCATTCTAATGTGAAATGGAGAACACATTTATTTTCCCCGAACTCGATATACTATTCAACTCATTTCTCCGACGATGAGTTTTGACATGAGTCTTTAAATTTCCCACTAAAATAAATGATCATATTTATTGTGAAGGAATATTCTACTGTAGTACAGTAAATGAACTATGAAGTATATCTTCGCATGTGTTCCCATCAGCAGGTTATTGAAATGGATCCCATCGGAAGATAAGTTATTATTGGAGAAGAGAAGCTCACCGGAAAGATCCACGCTGTGTTGCCTGTCGGGGAACCTTGCCGAACCCGAGGCGACATTGACCAGAACGGGAAACCAGAGATCCTTATCAAGGTATTCCAGAAGGTTGTTAGCCATGATGAGGTTCGATGGAACTGCTCTACCTGCAATCAATCAACCAGCCGACATCATTAGCCCTATTGCACTGGGTTTCTCCAACATAATTCAACAGTTTTTCATCGAAAAAATGCCCTGTGACTTGTGTATAAAGGTAAGTTCGAAACACTGTTTATGATCATGTACGCATATTTAAAATGGACAAAAATGAATCTTGCTCATTTTAGCACCAAAATTTAAGCATGTATGAAATTTTGAAAATTAACCATACCTTATTTGAACCCAAATTCGTTTTCTTTGCAACCTTTTATTGTGCAATCTTCTGGTTCTAAAATTTTACAAAGGTATTCGTATGGTTTGCCCTGCGTAGAAAAATGGCAAAATGTACATATATAAAGGTGATGTAATGCTGAGTATTCGAGAGTGTTTTAATTTTTTTTTACATATAATAAATCTTTTGTTGTTTTCACAAAATTGACGTTTAGATTGAGGTACTGTGTTTAAAACAAAGTTTACTGACAATATACCATGCATGGTGGATGTGTTCACTTCTTCTAGAAGATTATATATGTGATGAAAAATTTCAATCATTTGAAATTAATTTTAGTTATCCAGACTACAGGATATACTTGTATGGATAATTTTGGAAGACATCTATATGGCTTGTTTTTGGTGTCCAAAAATGTGTGATGGGGCTATTTTGCCCTAGTAATTGTTGGGGGGACCCATTTGTTTTGCCCATATTTCTCATGAAAAGGATTTCATTTTGTGCTCTTAATCATGAGATCATTAAATCTTGTGTATATTATTTCAATATGTATATTATTTTAAATGACTATATGTTATTTTAAATGACTATATATGTTATTTTAAATGACTATACAGTATATTATTTTAAATGACTATACAGTATATTATTTTAAATGACTATACAGTATATTATTTTAAATGACTATACAGTATATTATTTTAAATGACTATATATTATTTTAAATGACTATATATTATTTTAACTGACTATATATATATTTTTAATGACTATATATTATTTTAAATGACTATATATTATTTTAAATAACTATATATTATTTTAACATATGCAGTATATTATTTACATACATTATTTTGAATGACTGTGTCCAATTTATTTTTTTATTTTAAGGAAAGGGCTTTTAATATTGTAAGTGGTGCCCATACTTGTGATGGGGCCTTTTTTGGTCAACAGTATTATCAGTATCAGTGTGATATGATAACGCTGTTTAAACATGTATAATCAGTTGTATTGATTTTGAATATGATTCCATTTTGGAGCAGGTTTTCGCCAGATAAAAAGTGCTCTTATGGTGTATAGGGAATTTTCTTGGTTTTTTTAGAGAGGATTTAAGGTTTCCATCATTATGAGATCATTAGAGTATGTGAAATAGTATTTTAGTGATGAGGTTATCTCGTTTGAGGGGCTTGGGGATTGTATTCCAATGTGTGACATCCAAAACTTACAGTATTTTCTTACATAATCAGAAGGATAGAAGGATGACTCACTAAAAGCGTCATTCTCCACACTCTTGATGAAGTTGTTCTCCAGTGTGACGAAATTGGGCGAGGCGTCAAAGTACATGGAATTACTCTGGAGCTCAGAGATGAGGTTGTTGTGCAAGGTGACTGCATTGAGAGTGGGCAGCCTGGCAAAGGCATATTCTCCCACAGACTGGATAGTGTTGTTGTGCAGGAGAATGTCCACTATTTTGGGACTCATAGCTGCGAAGGCCCTGTCTGGGATATCTGTGAACTGATTTGCATATGCAATGAAGTACTTGAGGTTCGTCATGGATCTCAGGTCCTGCCATGGGAATGTGGTGAGGACGTTGTTGTGGATGACTAGGCTGTGAGGGTTTCCTGTACCAAATGCCCCTCTGTCAATCCTGATTTGTTTGGAGGTAAAAAAAAAAGATTAGCATCTGTTTTATAGGCAGTATTTTGTTTGCCCCATGGAAGCTATTATGAGATTCCATCTTTGAATTTATTAATGGCTCTTTCCCAATACATTAAAAAGGTGAATGGCAGTTGATAAATTAAAAAGGTAAGCCTTGCAGTTGAATTTAGGCTTCATTTTGCTTAGAACCTTGCTATGTAAAAAAAAATCAGATGCAGGAATGCAACCAATTATAACTGCACAAAATAATTATTTAGCCCTTTGAAGCAAAATCCAATCAACCATTTGCCAAGACTAAGGGATTGTATGATGGAACTTGGCCCCCTAATAACACTTGAAAACATTTAATGATTGGTAGCCCTATGTTAGATTTTGTTATGCTTTAGTTCACTGTTAGAGCTCCTGGGCTTTGCAAAAAATGGATTCAAAGAAGAATTTTCCTTGTTGCTGGCAAGGGCCTAAGATGGAACATGGAACAACAAATTAGCTTTTTAAAATTATGATTTCACTGAAAGACTTTCAAGGTTTCCCTATTATCTCAAGCATCCTTCTGAAACCTGGTGAGCTGGAGATTGTTGGTGATCCAATATTCTTCAGCTCTGTGCACTCCAAAGGCACCCCTGGGTAGGTGGCTTAGAAAAGTGTCTTGCAGGATAATCCTCTTGAACATGGTGCCATTCACCCTCTTGGATGCCATTTTGCTGAGTTCAGCCAGGGATCTTACAGGTGAGCAATCCATGCTAGGCAGGTGATCCCCTGGTGGCGGTGGAGTGCATGTGCAAGGTGCAATGATTTCTGCAGCTGGGCACATTGTTGGCACTGGGGGCTCTGTGATGGGAGCTGGAGTGGTGGTGGTGGTGGTGGTTGTTGTTGGCTTTGGTGTTGCTACAGGAGTTGATGTCTGGAAAGTGGAAACACAGTAGGAAGAATTGTACCATCTTCATGATAGTATGAAAGTGTTTTTTATGATAAAACTCATCCTTACAGCTAATCCGTCTGCACTTGTTATTGATGCCTCAGCTCCTGTTGAAACAAGCTCAGCAGGGCTGCTGACACCACCTCTAGACTCCACTGCTGGTGCATTTGAAGGTGCTGCTGATGGATCACCTGAGTACAGAAACTATAAATTGCAAAAGTTCCCAAATTTTAAAGCAAGCATTTAATCCAATCCCAATAGTGTTGAAAGAATAACTGCCCAGTGGGAATATTGGAGGATGCAAAGAAACTGACCAGCATCAGTTGGTCACATGATTCAATGGCCTGCAATTTGTCAAAAACATGGGACATACAGCATGGAATTAATTTTTGAAGATCATTGCAAAAAATTCCAAGCTCATTTATGTTTAGATTGACTTCACAGGATTTCTGTAGTGGCTCAAAAAGCCACTCTTTTTTTTTACTTTTGGGAATTTTTGTGAGATACATGTGTGGTTTGAATACTGTGGTCAGTTGTATAGAGTACGTGCATTTATGAATTGGATACTACTGTAACTTGAAATATAACTGAATATAATGCGCTTTATGACTGGAAAATTGCGCAAAATTTTTCAATGAGCTTGACAGCTGCGTTTTAAGCAACCTTTGAATTTATTGGACCTTATAAATTGCATAACTTAGTACTGTATATGGAAATACATTTGAACTTCGAAGCATTCTTGTTGGAGTAAAAAATTTTTTCATTTCTAAGGTTTTTTCTATTTTTTTCATTTCTATTTTTGATATTTTTTCTATTTTTTTCCATGCGCGTTTTTTGCAGAAAATTCTGGGTTTACCTATATGGTTAGGACCACAAATATATTTCTGCTGAATGATCATTTTTCTAAAAAGTAGTAAATATATATATCAGAAGAGGTTTCTATGCAAATGAACGTTATTTATGACTACTTTTTGTTCCTCACCTTTCCTATACATTGGTCATTGGTCCATTGAAAAAAAAAAGTCTAGAAGGAAAGAACTTCCACATGGACATTTTGTTTATGCTATTGTATACAGGAAAAATTTCACTTCAGTACTGTATATATATATATATATATATATATGCTCTTATTGTAAACATGTAGTACACTATGCATGTGCCCAAATTGTAAACATGATAACTCATATCTTACCAGCAGGCACAGAAGAAGCACTGGCTTCAGTAGTAGCAGCACTAGGGTCAACACTGGCTTCTGAAACAGCCCCTGCTGCTGGTGATGATGATGATGATGATTGTGCCCCAGCTTCAGCAGTGCCATTTCCTGTGTCCACAGCAGCTTCTGCTGGTGGTGGCAATGGTGTGGTAGTTGTGGGTTTCTTTGTCTTCACCTTAGTCACCCTCACAGTGGTGGGCTTTGGTGAGGTGACAGGAGCAGCAGTGGCCAGTTGGGCCTGTTGCATGGCCAATGTCTCTTGCAACTTGGCCAACTCTGCCTTCAGCAACTTACACTCTGGTGTGTTGCACTCTGATGTCTGTGGTGCAGCAGAGGGTTCAGCTGGTGCTTGAATAGGTGCAGCAACAGCTACAACAGCTGCAGCTGCTGCATTGTTGCTGTTGTTGTTCTTCTTCTTATTGTTTTTCTTGTTGTTGTTGTTGCGGCGATTTTTCTGGGCATCAATGCACAAAGCCAGGATCAACGCGAGAACAATCACGAACGCGATGGTGATCTTGAAACGCATTTTGAATTATAATCACTGCTTGGGATTGCGGCTGGTCAAACCCCCAGTGGCTTTCTGCAATGATGAAAATTTATTTTTGAAATCCGGTACGCGATAATATATAAATTCAGTCTCGGGTATATTGAAACGAATGAAAAATGATCGCGGGGTGATTTTTTTTCCTTCTTCAGAAGAGCCACAGTTTCCTGAAGGAAGACAACCTGGGAAATGTCTTCCGACTGACGGTAATCCAAGGAATAATTCACTTCCACTTCAAGGATTGATGATGGAAACGTTGTTCCGGAAGTGGAACAGATGAGAGGAAGCGTCAGGATTCTTAGAATCCCCCCCTCCCGCCTAAAATAAAATCACTTCCGCATCCGTTCCCGAACGGATCTCTGATGGGTATTTTTAACGTTGATCAACACTGCGATAAGGATTATCTGAGGATGACGATGAGAAGGTAGTGTTGACTACAGCAAGTCCTGATCGGGTCTGAAGCAAAAGGCCCTGATGGTGAAGCGTTCAAAGGCAGTGGTGCTGAGGAATTTTTGTGACATTGAAGCATCTGATGGTATATAGAGGGAGTTGGCATTGACGACTTGCATGCATGCAGGTGTCGGTAGAGTATATTATGGCTTGGTTGTTTCCTTCTCCTTAATTGGTGATTCACTGAGGCAAGAGCTTGTGGTTTGCATTTATACTTCAGAGACAGTCATCTGATGTCCTGTAGTACTCTCCTATACAGTACAGTCAAATTTTAGGGGACCAGCAAACAAAATTCAGAAGATGGAGTTTTTTATTTTGGTTAACAGGCATTTTTTGCTGTGGGGAAAAATAGAAGAATTGCAATTATAAATGGTGATACTCTGGACTCTAAATGGCTGGCTTCTCAAATGGCAGGATGCTGAATTTGGAGGCAGGGGGTTCATTTACCCAAAGATATATTAGTCTGTAACTTCAAGTTGATTTTTTATTGCTCCTCTCTTTCCTGTGTCAAAAAAATGGACAAAAGGCCTGAGAAAATTTGAGTTTTGGAGGTTTTAAAGGAAAAGCCTTCAAGTTAGGGAGGTTTTGAATGCATTATTTCTGTATAAGGAGATTCAGACAGGGGCTTGGAAAAGAAAATCAACTTAAAGAGGTTGAAGTCATTGAGGTTCAACTGCATATGTATATAATTTGTCAAACCAACTGAGAGTTAAATTTTGTTCATTGTTTCCTGAGCTTCTTAGAACTCAGGAAAAACTTGATACAGGTGATACCTTTCAATTCATAACCTCCCACAATTTGACCATCCTGCAATTTGATGGTCAAATTTGCAGGGAGGTTGACTTGCAATTTGACCATTGCCCTGCAATTTGACTTGACTTGACTTGCCACTTTTTAAAATGTTTGTTCATGCATTTTTGAATTTCACAAAGTGTCTTGCAATTCAACCACTTTGCAAATTGACCCTAGTTCGGCAATGGATTAGGATGAAATTGCAAGGTCCACGTGTATACTATAATTATTGCTGAAGTCAGTTATTGATATGATATGCTTGCCAATAGAGCAAGAGGCACAGAGTAAATTGTATGCAGCAGAGTTGAAGGATTTGGATTTGTTCAAGATCAGATAAATTTGCATGATTGAAGCTGTTGTTTTCCTGTCCAGTGTCCACTTTGATGAAAAACTTCTGCTGTAAGAAAAAAAATCAGTTTGAAATAGTGAGAAATCATGATAGTGAATTGTAAAATATCTGCTTGGGATAAAATAGCCTGAGTTGATGGGTTGCTCAATGCGCAATAATTTGTGTCTATGGGACATGCATATGGTCTGTTTATTTCTTGGAAATATTCTTCAAATTCAAGAGTTATTTCTTCTAACAGTATTTACATAATGTATGGAATATACTGTACTATGGAAATTATATATCCATATTAGTTCTTATTGGTGCTTCGCAATTTTATAAGATGAATTTCATTCCTTCTAGGATTCATGCTTCAGTTTTCGTTTGTTTCTATGATGTGTAATGAACAGTTGTATACATTCTCTCATTTATGTATTATTTAGAGTTTCCAGAGGTGAACTCACTTATTGAGGTACCTGATTAATCAGCCCCTGGAATTTTCCGCATTGAACCGGTTCCAGTTACTGGCATTTTTTCCCCATAACTGAACCGGGAACACGAATATAAATAGCTTCATATTTAGCTTATTGATTAATTTTTTCTAGTCATACAATCCCTTGTATAGACATATGGAATACTGTAATTTGATGGTACGGCATAAATGTACTTATCGATAAAAAGTCGGAAGTTCTGTTGAGATTATAATTCCCGGATTCGTTAATTCATTATTCTGCTTATTGAAGGACTTGAAAAGTAAGGGATTTAATTTCCCACAGCCCAATTATATTCCTGCTGCATAATTGTTTCAACTTGAGTCTTTTGCTTATTGGACGTTTGCATAACCATGCAGTTGCATTTGGCAACATTTTTAGGTTGATGCATCGTTAGAGTTTTTAGTATTCGCGTGATATGATTTTGCAGCAGTATAGGATTATTACTGTATTAAATTACATGGTTCCATTTTTCATGCAGAATTTTTTTAAATGTAAATTTAGGTACCCAATCAACATTCAAAAATATTCCGCTCTTTTATGAAGTCATAAGAAATTGTTTGAAAGTCGCTTTGGACAAAAGTTGATGAATTGAATCGAAATAACGTGAATGTTGATTCAACTGCATGCTGGATCGTTCGGCATGAAATTCCAAAAGAAAACAAATGAAATTTATAATTTTTTTCTCCCAACAAAGACTTCGAATTCACAAGTCGTATTAAATTTAACATCGCTCTCTTAAACAAAAAATTTAAAAAAAACTTTTGTCGGAATTATATTTTTCTAAAATGTTTTCCAATCAGTCTTGTACTTGGCTCACCTGATAGGTCAATATTCGGTATGAAATCAGTTTCAGTCTAAGATAATGAGCTGCTCTGCTGAACACTCTGGTACAAATATCTATACCAACAATACTTAAGAGGTTTACACTACAGTCTATAACGAACGTTATATTGAAAAGATACAAACACTTTTCCTACTTGAACAAATCTACTTTTAGGAAGGTACGTGGTATTAAATCTATGGTCATTTCTTGATGTATTCAGCAACTATACTTTTTTGTTTGACAAGTATTCTCTTGAAATATAACCATGCATGCATGTGGCGAAATAAATTCTGTATATTGCCAGCTTATGGTTGAACAAAGCTTGGGATTTGATTTTTTTTAATCTGCGAATACTGTATGTTGCCAGATGAATCTTTGTTATACGAACGTTGTAATGAAAATTCCTTCACTCAAGAAAGAAATGATCAACGATTGATTTCGATTTTTCTTACAGATCATGAGGAACAAGAGAAAAAGTATTTTTTTAGTCAAGATGCGACGCTTTATTCATCCGCTGAAATGCGCGAGTGCAAAAATAATCAGGTGCAACAATTGTTCCGCGATAATTACCAAAAATATCATCATTGAATGCCGATTCCGTAAACATGAAATCCAAGAAAAAGGAATTCTCCCAAAACTCGTTTCAGTTCTGCTGTTGGCTGCCATGCATCATTAAACCCTTGGGCATTTTTTGTTTTGTTTGTTACATCATCGCTAATACCGAATTAGAGATGTTCGCGATTAAAAATTCTCAATTATTTATTTAGTACAGTACAGTATATCAATTTTTCAGTTTGTTCACAGAGCGGTCAAGGGGTCAACGGTTCGTGGCTCTGCAGGCCCTGTTCCCGGTGCACTCGTCCCTGCTGCGACCAAAGAGGCGGCGAGCTCTATCAACATGGCGGCGTCCACTGTGCCTGAGTTCAACATCTGTTCGGCAACCTGTGAATTCCGAAGGCAAGAAGTCGTTTGCTTACGTCATCGTGGACAACAGTACGTTTCAGATTTGAAAGTAATACGACTCGAAAAAAATGCTAAATCTTTCCCGAAGGTGGTGGAATGTGACGCGTTATGCGCTATAGTTCTTCACACTGAATGAGTCAGAATGCTCAGAACTCTTGAATAGACTTAATACTGTAGTGCCAGTGATTCACCATCTATATGGACAACATAGGGGCATCGAAGGTGGCTCTCGTTGTGCTGCGCAATTTCGTGATGAAAATTATGTGAAATTGTATTATTTACATGTATACATGGAGGGTAGGTTGTTTGGAACAACTCGTTCGGATCTTACCTGTAAGTTAGTCAGTGGTTCTTGCGCGGTTTCCACGACGGGTTGGGCTTCAACTACAGGTGCCACTACGGCGGGTTCAGCTGCTACTTGCGGTGGCTCCACAGCGACGGGTTCAGCCGCGACTGCTGGGGCAGGTTCTACAATCCTGGTATCAACTGCTACTTCTGCTGGACCTGCGTTAACTACGGGTGACGCAGCAACTGTTGCTCCAGCTCCGACTGCTGCAGCTACTGGTGCAACATGACCACGTTGTTGACCACGCTGTTGACCACGCTGCTGGAGACTGAAAACGACGAACCTGTCCGCTGCTCGAACAGAAAGAGCGAGTGCGGAACGGAAGAAAAGACGGAACTAACATCGGGAAAACACAAAAAAAAAAGATGAGGGTAAGAGATCGATGAAATTGTTCCTTCTGTAATTTTAGCTCAAGATTTGTGCCTGGAATGCCAAATCATACGCGGTAAGTCATCTGTCCTTTTTGTGCTACATTTTGGAGTACAGTAATGTTTTCGTTTGATATTTGTATTTGCAATACAGTAATGCTTCTAAAACTCGATTTTTGCTGCGAAGTTTTAAAATGCCCTATATATAGTGTGTTCAATTGTTTCATTGCCTGATCGGGTTCAATCAAAATTTAATTGCAAAATTGAAAGTCAATATCGCATTTCCCCCGAAATCTTGTTCTTTTAGTTTTTTACCTGGTAACCCTTTAGTCAAGTCGACCCCGTTTTGAAGACCTTATATAATAAGACCATCCTGCTGAATAAAAATTAAATATAGTACTTATGGTTCATTTCATGGAAGTAATGTTCTTTTAGTTTTTTACCTGGTAACCCTTTAGTCAAGTCGACCCCGTTTTGAAGACCTTATATAATA